ATGAACTGCTTGCATGAGCATAGCTGCTGTAGCTGTTATAACCTTGTCTGCCTCTTTGAAAAGTGTTGAAGCTATTACCTCTCTGAGAATAACCAGATTGATTGGCTGGACCTTCTCGAAACCTGCCTCCATCTCTGCCTATGAAATTACCTCTGCTTCTATAATGGCCTCTATGACCTCCTCTGTTAGAAAAATTGCCTCTGTGTGTGTTGTAAGCAAAAAGACCTGGAGCTTCAGCAGCGTGCATGTGCTTAAGAGAAGCCTCTATATGAATAGATTCAGAACAAAGTAGAGAGCACAGTTGCTCTATAGAGATAGGACCTGATCTAGCACGTACAGTAGTCTTCAAGGCATTGTATTCATCAGGCAAACCATTCAAAATCAGAAGAACAAGATCTTCATCATCAACAAGTGAAGATACTAAAGCAAGTTGATTAGCTATCACTTTGAATTGATTCAGATACTCTTCCATTGTGACTCCTTTCTTAGTAATTTTACTTAATTTAGTGTTTAACTGATGTATATAAGACCCAGAAAGGGAGGTAAATCTCTTGGCCAGAGTAATCCATACTTCATGACTTGATTGACAATGAATCACAGATGTGAAAATAGATGGAGATAGTGTAGCAGTGATACAAATCATCAGCTGTGCATCAATAGTATTCCATAAAGTGTATCACTGCTACAAAATTAAAAATAAAAAAGAAAAGAAAAGAAAAAGGTAAGAGGAGATGACACAAAATTAGAAAGGCTAATATTATGATACACACTCTACAAAATTATAACATTTGTGTGTTTGATTACCATAAATATCATAATTCAATATTAGAGGAGTCATAACTTTAAAAAATAATGAGTTATAACCAAATATTACTTAAGGTATAATTAAAGAATTCTTGGATCATAACTCATAACCAATATCACAATGAGTCATAACTGATACCACAATAGATCATAATCAATGACCATAAAAGGCATACCCGATTGTGCATATGGTACTATAAAATTTCTCAATTAAGAATTTTTTACCGATTTTATAAATATTGTGATTATTTAATTTAGGAATTTTTTTTTTCCACATAATGCAATCTTACATTATATTATATCCGTGAAAAGATGTTTTAAACAAAAAAAATCACATAATTATATGAATACTATTATGTGTTACTCTACATAACTTGACCATGAGTTATTGCTCGTAACTAAAGTGGTCACTTACATAATCAAAGTGCATCTATATGGTATTTAATACACATCTAAGAGTTTTTCATTTTTTTAAATGTTTAAATTCTATGACTTTCATTCTCTTATGTGAAATTTATATTTTTTAAAACAAGATCAATAACCAAGACAAAACTTTGTTAAAAGAATTGCGATTTAAAGAAAAACTTTTTCAAATTTTAGAAATTACCAATGAAAAAAAAAAAAAAAGAAAAAAAAAAAAAAAACTATTTCCATATTCAATATGGATATTATTTTATAGATTTAAATGAGTAGATATATATATATACATATATATATATATAATATTTATAAAAATTAATGTGTATAATAAAAGTTATGTCATTTTAATTGAGAAAAAAAAAGAAGCTAACTTAACAACACAATAACATCGTTGATGGAGTAAATTATTTAGTACTTTCAAAATATCACGTAATATTACTCATATGGTACTTTTAAATAAGTAATAACATAAAAATTATTAATTATGAGATAATATTGACTCACTTATTTAAGGGGAATTTTTTTTAAGGTCTCTGATATTAAGATTTTATGAGATAAATGATATAAACATTTTCACAAAGAAAATTCAACACAGAGAAATTTTTTCCGACTCAGAGAAATTTGGCCTCGACTCAGAGAAATTTCAAAATTTTTCTGTGAAATCAGAGAATTGTGAGAAATAAAATGTGAGAGGGGTGGTATTTATAGGACTTGGGAGGGAGGAGTTAATTTATATATATAAATAAAATAAAATAAAAATTGATTGTTGGTGGAATTAACGGTTATATGATTCTTTCAAATTGTTTTGATTTAAATTTTTTACCATTGCACTGACAATGGGGGTAGGGAACCATTGGGGTCGGGTCGAGCCAGATGGGGAAGAAAATTTCAGGACGAGCTCACGAGATGGGTCACACTCCATAACACACCAGGGTCGGGCCGGGCTCTAGAACACATATCTTAGGTTGGGTTTAGCCTCGAGCCTAGTTGGGCCTACCTAGGACACGAGCAGACTTGGGGTGTGCCGCAAGCTCGTGAACCAAATTTACACCCCTATATGTGGGTAGTGGTTATGAGATATATGATTAGTGGTTATGATATATGTGATATTGATTATGAAACAAAGGGTGTTGGTTATGAGATTTGGTTATAACATATGTGGTTAAAGGTAATGAGATATATGATTAGTGATTATAAGATATGCGATTTTGGTTATGAGCAGAGTGGTATAGTTACAAGTCAAAGGGTGTTTGGTTATGAGATATGTGATTAGTAGTTATGATATATGTGATGTTGGTTATGAGATATGTGGGTAATGGTTATGAGTAAAGTGGTGTCAAAGAGTGTTTGGTTATGCTATATGTGTTGGTGGTTATGAGATATGTGGGTAATGGTTATAAGCAAAGTGGTGTCAAAGGGTGTTTGATTATGCTATATGTGTTAGTGTTTATGAAATATGTGGGTAATGGTTATGAGCAAAGTGGTGTCAAAGGGTATTTGGTTATGCTATATGTGTTAGTGGTTATGAGATATGTGGGTAATTGTTATGAGCAAAGTGATGTCAAAGGGTGTTTAGTTATGCTATATGTGTTAGTGGTTATGAGATATGTGGGTAATGATTATGAGCAAAGTGGTGTCAAAGGGTGAGGTTATGCTATATGTATTAATGGTTATGAGTTATGAGTTATGAGATATTGGTTATGTAACTAGTGGTTATGAAATATGTGATGTTGGTTATTAGATATGTAACTAGTAGTTATGAGATATGTGATGTTGGTTATGATCAAAGTGGTGTGGTTATGAGTAAAAAGGTGATAATTATAAGATATGTGATTAGTGGTTATGAGATATGTGATGTTGGTTATGACAAAAAGGTATTGGCTACGAGATATGTGACTAGTAGTTATGAGATATGTGATGTTGGTTATGACTCAAAAGGACTAGTTATGAGATGTGGTTATGATTTATGTGGGTAGTAGTTATGAAATATGTGATCAATGGTTATGCGATGTGTGATATTTGTTATGTTTAAAGTGGTGTTGGTTATGAGATATGTGATTATGATTATGAAATATGTGATATTAGTTATGAACAAAATGGTGTTGGTTATGAGATGTGGTTATAACTAAGTTATGATCAATTTGATTATAGTTATGAAAAAATATGATTTTAACTCATAACTATAAAAAGTGACATGTTTAGCAGGTCACTTTTAATGATGTGGCTCAATCCTAGCCATTGATTTTTTATGTACCGTACATTTTTTGAACAAAATGTACTATAGACTTTCCCAAGTTTGCATATCTCAGTGCAGCATTGGAATTTGGATCAGGTACTCATATGCCAACAGCATCCATGAACTCTCCATCGGATTCAAGGTCCCTCATCAACTCCGGCAAAAGGCACGCCTCCAAATCCATGCTTCCTCCGCCTTCGTATCCCGGGTACATATCCACTTTCCCGTCAAACTTATTCGCATATCCACTTTGAATTGCCACTGCTCTCCCCATTCCAAATTCGTTCTCAAACATTTCAAACCTCGGCGAGCTACTCACCAAGATGCCGCAAGGGTTGACGGATTCACACCTCCGTATTATAAGTGGAGTCTTCATCCACTCCTCCACGCACTCCCTCACCGCCTTGTTGTTGTGGTCCGTCACCGCTTCCCTCAACCACCACGCTGCCCACCCGAGCCCCTGCTCTAGCAGCTCGCCAGCCTTAGTAATGCCTCTCACTGTTTGAACAGAATTCCCAAAATATCCCTCGGGCAACTGCGGCTCAATTCGTGTTCGGATATTCATTGACATTATGCAACTGGTTTTTTGATTGTAGGGAAGGCGGCGCGTCCTAGTGATGCACCTCCAGATGAGCACGCTCACAGATTGCAAGGAGGATATCCTATTGGTTTGACACTCCCCATTGGCTTTCGCTTTTAGTTTCGCTATGGATTCCGAGGATAAGTGGAAAAATCTCTCTCTTAATTGCGGCGCTTCATACCTGCTGATGAATTGATCGTGGTGGGTGAAAGGAAGGTTCAGAACAGGGCCGTACCTGTTGAGAACTGGCGGTCGAGAAATGGAAGAATTGTTTCTCATGAAAATGTCCGACCAAGTATTGAAGAAATGCCAATAGGATGTTCCATCAACTACCACGTGGTTGATGGAACATCCTATGAAGATGCCATCAACCAATTCTGTCAGCTGAATGGACAGCAATGACAGGGTATGCCCATCATGGTTGATGGCCCTGTCATGGTCAAAGAAGGATTGCACAACTAGTGGTACATCCACTGGCGAAAGAATGTGAGAGACGGTCAAATTCACTGCGGCGTGGATGAATTTGGCGCCGGGACTGTTGTCATTGTCGATGTAGATGGAGTAATGAGGTGGGTCTTCTTGTTTGGAAGTTGCCAGCCAACCGGCAAGAGGGTAGAAATGATCAAGAGTGAGAGAGAGAGAGACTCCTTGAGCCTCTCCAAGAGAACTTGGACTGTACTTTCTTGATCATTCATTGAAGAGGGCTTGACAAAGAGAAGACCCTTTTGGATGTAATGGACTGAGAGCATGGTTAGGTCCCATGGAGTCAGGTAGATTGGCTGCTTTGTCTCTTTTTCTTCTGGTGAAGACTTGGGTTTGATGAAGCACTCTGAGATGTACTGGACATTTGGAGGATTCATTGTTAGGCAAGTGTGTGTGTGAAGTGTTGAAGAGGGTAAAATGGTATATCTTGTTATGGACCATTCACTCAAGATTTATACATGTAGTCCCAAATAACTAAAATTATTTGTATTAGGTACTGACTCCATTAAACTCGTTTAAGATTGGCGGGTGTGTGGGGTAGGTAAAGGATTCGATCAAGTATTTTGGAAAGAAGCTTCTCTCTAGTCTCAGATCTGATTAGAGAGATTCAGTTTAGTTTATGGCAAATTCATTTTGGATTTGTCTTCATAATTTAAATTGTTTATTTTGTGATATTTATCTAGTCCGTTATTTGTATCAAAAAATAATTTTATTAGATATCAATAACAACTTAAATTGATAATATTTTCGGTAGTCCAGAAGTATGGTTACGTGGTGTTCCATGGTAGTATGATTGGTGGAGAAGATGAAATATTAATTATTTATGTTGGGTGATTGAGAAATATAATGATGCATAATGAATAGTAATTGGTGAAGGAGTACAGCCACGTGATACTCCGGAACTATTGTATAATTTTCCGAAAAGAAGAAGATGAATGGTATGATTTTT